GGAAAACGACACATTTTCATTTCCATTTCGTATGTCGGTTAGGGTCAATATCCACCTTTTCTTCGAAAGTCTCTATTTTCAATAATGATGAAAACATCAAAGTAAATAAAAAATGGAAATGTTCGGAAAAGATCAGGCTAAAGCTTGTTTTTTTATAAGATAAAAGTCAAAATGACAATATGTTGGCAATACAATGTAAAATTGTCAATGCTTTCAAATTTTTTATATAAAAAAAGCTTGTGTTGCCAACGTAGTTACTACATTTTTGACTTGGGGAATTATCTTTAAAAAAAAACAGACTTCACAATTTGGTGTTTGAAAACTGTTCTCAGTTTTTAGTGGTTCAGTCGACAGGGTGTCTCAAAAAGCTTAGAAAATTACTGACTTTTTTTCCGTCCCCGTACACGGTATAAAGACGAATCATTAATTCAATGGTGGTAATACATCAGATTTATTCGTGGAGATACAAGTTACAATCTGGGCAAAATAGGTACATCGTAATCGAGCGAAAGGTTCAAGAGAAAATCGATCATCAAACGTTTTGCAGATGGTAGTGTGATTTTCCCGCAATAATTGAAATACCCTTACTTTTCCTAAACCAATCTAAGCCAAATATCATTTTTATCAATGTCAATTTTTAGGCTTTCATAAAATGGGGACATTCACCATATTTGAATTTAATTGCTTTATTAATTTTAATCAGTTGTATTAACCAAAATAAAAATACCCTTGCTTCCAGTTAGGTTTAAAATGTCCTAATTTTGTTTAAAATAATTTTCAAAAATGCTGTTTTCATCCCACATATTTAAACGTGCTGGAATGGCGCCATTGTATGACGTATATACACTTTCCAACCAATAAGAATCGTTCACAATAGCTCTGGCGCACATCTTACATGATTTCCTTGTCTAAGCTCTGAAGAGTGACAATGATGAAACTCCTCATTTGTTATTTGCATTTTGTTCGTTTAACGCTGGTCAACATAACCTCTTGACAGTTAGACAGTGCAACGTTGCCAAACTGAGTGTCGTAATTCCTTAATACTAACATGACGTGGCATAAATCCTTTTTCAACACTAGAAAAACTGTTATTCTGCAACTAAATCCACTAACAATTAAAAAATTACATTAATTTTATAACTGTAGTCCAAAATATACAACAAAAAACTATATAATGCAAGGATAGAAACGAGGTTTCTAGAGGCAATCTTGGAAATCAACAATGACAGCGCCAATCTGACAACGTACTTATTTGCAGTATATTTTTGCTAGTTGTAGGGACTGACGTCATATTCGGCGGGTTTTCTGCGGCGTTTGAAATGCTGCTGAAATTATATTTTTTATTAAAAATCAACGACAACTCAAATGTTCCCCAAAATAGTGCTATTAGGCTTAGTTTGTGTTCTAGAATTAGAAAAAATAAATAAAAAATAAACACTAAATATCCCCATTATTTGTAGTTTGGGCTTGAAAAGTGTCCATATGGGAACATAATACTGGACCGTCGATAATCTCGAATATAACAATTCGTCGAATTCATAGGTATTTTAGCTACCTTTCGAATCTTCTCCATCCAAAACATCGTCTTTTTCCAATTGAAATTCCTCATTTTCTTTTTCTATTTAAATTGTTTGGTCTTTGGCTTTGGCTTTATTTATATCTCATTTAATAGTTTTTGTACTTTTTGTTTACTCATTATTTTTAAATCGAAGGTGATCAACTCTTTTAATACCATCAATTTTGTCTTTTGCTTCAAGTGTGTTTTATAATGCCAAATTGATAAATTTCCATAAATCCTGTCAACTCTAGCCCCTCTTTTTCAATTTCCAAAATTAATTAAATCAACTCTAGATGAAGAGTCCGTCCATAAGAATCATCTTCATTAATACTCAGCCGAAAATAAACAAATCATAGATTTTTACTTACTTTTTCCTAAACAACATCCGTAAGATGTTGATTAAACAATCCATTATTAGCTCCATTCATTCTGTAGTTGCAGTTTCGAATGACAGTATTGCAGTTGTTAAATACGTGGTTTAGGATTGAAATATCTACGTCTACATAATTGTCTAAAATTTCCTATGAAATTAGCGGACTTTGAAAATTGGTTCGATTGATATTTTTGAATATTTTCTCTCAATATTTCGGCGGAGACAAACATTTGTTGCTTTATTAGTTCACTTCTTTCCAGGTTGATATTGAACTTGATCGTGGCTTTTAGTAATCTATAACCAGTAGCAAATTTATTTTCGACTATGTCTTTTGCAATGTACCTTCAATTTATGTGATAATGTAATACATCTCATTTTCAACTCAGATGAGTCAGGACTTTTCCAAATCAACTTCCTAGTGGCTTTCGGGAGAATGTATTTATACAAAACAAATATTATTTTGGAGGTAATTTAATAATTTCATTTCTCGCTCGTTTTAGTCGCTTCAACAGCTTAGCTAGGAGATTTTTAAATGTTTCATTTTTGGTAAACAAATAAGGAAAAACAAAATTACTTTTTAACGAGTTTTTCGGTTAAATTACAAAGTTCTGCGATTATACAATTTCTTTTAGAATACGATTTAAAATAAAAACAATATAATTAACATCAATGACAAGGTCTCATTACAAAAAATATTCTGCAGTGTGATTTTCCAGGTACTTCCATCTACCAAAATCGATTGTTCCTGATTATCACGTACCTACTTTTAAGTACCTAATAGATCTTTAAACCATTTTTTTTTAAATTTATATCAAAAAACTCCACGGATTTCAGAGAGCATAAATAAAGATCGAATCCGGATAGAATCCAGATTTCTAATAAAATAGTAGATTCATTAAATCTTTCTGGCATGCATACCTACTTGCCAACAATATGGTTGTAATCGAAAAAGTCGAATAATTATTGCTTTTTGTTTCAAATTTTTGTATGTATGTATATTTTTAAACTAACTATCCAAAAGATGTATCACCTACATTATTGCTCTTTCCTTCTTTTGATAAATTTTTTTCATAAATAAACGGCGATAGATCTTCCCAGTTTTTCAAACATAAGATACAGACCAATGACATCAATACAGACTCATTCCTTTGAAAGCGGATTTATTTTCAAATAACCTCGAAATTGGTTCAAAAGAGGTTTTTTTTTGCCGCGATTATAATTGGGTTTTCCTAACAAGTCAACAACATATAGAAAATCAATTCAAAAGTCATTAGATATGTAAAAATTCTCAAACGATTGAATAAAAAATTATCAATGGATTTTATTTGCTTTCAAAACCGTATGTCTCTCATCAAACAGAATAGAAAAATGATTATTTTTCCTCACATAATCGTTTGTAAAAAATGTACTTTTACGCCTACACTCGCTGCCAAATCCTATTATAAAGTTATATCTGAACGTAAACTCGATTTTATATTTCAATTAATCTAAAAATGTCTTTATTAGCTTCGGAAAACTCGGGCAAATTTAATTGTTAATAATTTTGCATCGTAAACGATCGGGAAATTTTATGGCTTTTAGGTGATAACTATTGGCCCATTTATTCCCTATAGTTAACTTTTATGGTTGAAAATAAAAGAACTATTTTGTTGATTGCGGCAATATGTTTTTCTTTAAAATTACAATTATTTGATCACAACAAAAAAGCAATTATTGGACCAAAAGTAACTTATAATCAGGATGAAAGGGATATTTATCAAATGCATGACAATGACACAGCAATGATGTAGAAATACAAAGTGATTTGACAATGATTTTGAAGTAGAAGGAGCTTTCCCTGGAATTATTTTATTTGAATGGCAGCAAATATCCAGTAAATTTCTCCAAAATTTTGTAGAGGGCGCGAATGAACTTGGAGTGCTTCAAATTTTGGCGGTAAATGTCAATAGTTTTAAACCGCTTAAATTGAGTAGAAGAGAAGATGACTACATATGAACAATGGACAATGAATAAGTTAAAATATCTTCCAAAGCGTTCAGTGGCCCTTAGAGAATATTTTTAAAGGTGTCAGCATTAGCTTGTCTTGGAACCACACATCAAACTTAACTTTTGAGGTTCAAATTTCAATCGATTTTTTACGCGCCAAAATTTAAAGAGCTTCAAGTACAGAAGCGCCCTCTTCAATTCAACTGTCAATATTACATGCCATTAAACTAAAATATTGTCAGATAATTTTCAACGTCAGTTAGCTACGTCTTTCTATAATCGAATATAAAATTCGGGCTTAAGCTTTCTTTTTAGACTATCGCAAAACAAACAATTTATTAAATTCAAACAAGCTAGGAGTACATAAAGATTACTTGCTCAAATAATAATATCAAACAATGTTATCGAAAAAAAAATACACATACCCAACTTAAATTGATACAAGAACATAATGCAAGTATTTGTAGGACTAATATTTGTTCTCCATGAATCATAAATTTATTTTGAAAATACTTTGGAATAATTTAAAAACCCTAATAATGTTTATAATAATATTAAGAGAAACTCTATCTTTTTGGTTAACTTTGACATACCCTTAGTTTGAACTAAACAAAAACAGGTGAATAACAGATAATAATAAAAGTATAAATCATACAAGGTGGAAAAAATAAAAGTTTGTTAAGTAAAATTAAGTCTAAAAACGAAATGTATGTCAGAAAGAACCTAAAAACACACGATACAAACTTTTAATTCGCCTCTGACAGGTGAGATTATCGACAAAAAATGCTGAACAATTTTGAAGTCAATTTTCCATTCAATATTCGGTTCTGTCTTCTCATTAGGGGTACCCTGCTCCAAGCTCTCGTATTTTTGTATTTGCAAGTAAAATAGATTTGGTACATTATTATTCGACAACTGAAATGTTAGAATTTTCTTTTCATTGTGTAAACAAAGAGCTGTCTCTATACTAAAAGATCCCTGGCCAAAAATCCCATATTTACATGTAAATATTATGAGCAATCGGAGTGATGCTCTCCGTTTCCTTTGAAAAGCCACCAGAGAGATATCAGCAACACGTTTCAGAGCCGGAAAAAGGATTTTTAGAACAAATAAAATTAAAACCGAACTGATAAGGGCATCGTTTAGCTAATGGATTCCGTTGTCGTCTCGACTTATAAACATTGGACAACGAAATTAGTTGAATTAAAGTCAGTGAAAGTGTATGAACGTATTTGAAAAAAAAACACACAAAGTGTGGGTGAAAACGATGTTACCTCAATGTGGAATCAACGAGAAAAATATAAGTGCAGCGTTACCTTGGTCTGGATTGACGTGGGCATGTATAAGGATTCTGCAGCTTTATGCGAAGGTCTTTGATCAGGATATAAACAAGTTTAATCCGAAGTAAGTTGTAGTTTATAGAATATGTTTTGTAGGTCAGTTCCTGAAAAGAAACGATAATCCCCAGTAAATTATACATTTTTGAAGCAGAGAATGGTATTTTATTAATAAAAATAATAATATACAGAGTGTTTTATTGAAAATAACAAAGTTGCAGTCAATTTGTCTCGGTATTTAAGTATTGATGTTATTTTGACAAAATCACGAAACTTTTGTGCTTATTAGGTACATTTTTATTTGTATCCAGTGTTGCCAATGACCCGATAATTATCGAATTCTACCATAATTTTGACTACGATTCAATAATCGATAATGACAAGCTAATCTACCATAATTTATTGAAACTACAATTTTAATATACATTTTTCAAATTTCTAGTTAAAAATTAAAAATCTATTAAAAAACTGGAGGTGGTTGTTGGTTTTGAGTGTTTTGATCTACTGGTGCGAGCACCAAACACTAGTCCCAGATTGAGCCAAAGTTTCATGACAATAACTTCACTGGTTTCCAAAATAAGGCCCTTTGAAATATTTGAAAATCAAATTCCCATGCATACCCCTTTGGACTTTTTAAATTTTTGGATTTTGCAATGTTTGACTTTACCAATCGAAAGAAGAGGTTAAAATCAGTAGAAAAGCATTTTCAGAACTTTCCTTTTTGGGTTTTAAAGCCTTGTTAAAAAATAAGAACGATTTTTGCAATTTTTGGGCTCAAAAAAATTTCATTAATCTGACATTCTTTCACAAAACAAAATTGCTGATTACTCGGTTATTATTCTAACAAATATAATGTAAAATTATATATTCTGAATTAGAATTAAATTATCTTCAAGATAAAATAAGATTCAATTCTATATCTTGAATACTTGTGAAGATATTGAGGCTCAAAGTTGAAACTTTACCTCAAATTTTGCAAAAGCTTCCAGGCGGATTATCTTGAAAATGAAGCCCTTGGGCTCGGAGTCTTAAATAACCTTTTTTGTATCCCTTATTAAGAGCTACAATTTGGCAAAAGATTCATGCCAATAGCTTCACTCGTTTCCAAAATATGGCCCTTTGAATTATTTGAAAATGAAATTTCCATACATACCCTTTGGAAAAATTCGAATTTTTAAATTTTATGGATTTTGCAAATTTTGACTTCACCAATCGAAAGAAGAGGTTAAAATTAGTAGAAAAGCATTTCCAGAACTTTCTTTTTTGGGTTTTAAAGCCTTGTTAAAAAATAAAAACGATTTTTGCAATTTTTGGGCTCAAAAAATGTCATTAATCTGACATTATTTCACAAAATTGCTGATTACTCGGTTATTATCTTAACAAATATGATCTAAAATTATATATTCTGAATCAGAATTAAATTATCTTCAAGATAAAGTAAGATTCAATTCTATATCCTAAATACTTGTGAAGATACTAAAGCTCAAAGTTGAAACTTTACCTCAAATTTTGCAAAAGCTTCCAGGCGGATTATCTTGAAAACGAAGCCCTTGGGCTTGGAGTCTTAAATAACCTTTTTTATAGCCCTTATTAAGAGCTACAATTGGGCAAAAGATTCATGCTAATAACTTCACTGGTTTCCAAAATATGGCTCTTTGAAATATTAGGAAATCAAATTTCCATGCATACCCCTTTGGAAAAGTTCGAATTTTTAAATTTTCAGTTTTTCGAATTTTTGACTTCACCATTCGAAAGAAGAGGTTGAAATTAGTAGAAAAACATTTTCGCAACTTTCCTTTTTGGGTTTTAAAGCCTTGTTAAAAAATAAAAACGATTTTTGCAATTTTTGGGCTCAAAAAAATTTCAATAATCTGACATTCTTTCACAAAATTGCTGATTACTCGGTTATTATTGTAACAAATATAATGTAAAATTATATATAGTGAATCAGAATTCAATTATCTTCAAGATAAAATAAGATTCAATCCTATAACTTAAATACTTGGGAAGATATTGAGGCTCAAAGTTAAAACTTTACCTCAAATTTTGCAAAAGCTTCCAGGCGGATTATCTTGAAAACGAAACCCTTGGGCTTGGAGTCTTAAATAACCTTTTTTGTAGCCCTTATTAAGAGCTACAATTGAGCAAAAGATTCATGCCAATAGCTTCACTGGTTTTCAAAATATGGCCCTTTGAATTATTTGAAAATCAAATTTCCATGCATGCCCCATTGGAAAAATTCGAATTTTTAAATTTTATGGATTTTGCAATTTTTGACTGCACCAATCGAAAGAAGAGGTTAAAATAAGTAGAAAAGCATTTTCAGAACTTTCCTTTTTGGGTTTTAAAGCCTTGTTAAAAAATAAAAACGATTTTTGCAATTTTTGGGCTCAAAAAATTTCATTAATCTGACATTCTTTCACAAAATTGCTGATTAGTCGGTTATTATTGTAACAAATATAATGTAAAATTATATATTCTGAATCAGAATTAAATTATCTTCAAGATAAAATAAGATTCAATCCTATAACTTAAATACTTGGGAAGCTATTCAGGCTCAAAGTTGAAACTTTACCTCAAATTTTGCAAAAGCTTCCAGGCGGATTATCTTGAAAACGAAGCCCTTGGGCTTGGAGTCTTAAATAACCTTTTTTGTAGCCCTTATTAAGAGCTACAATTGAGCAAAAGATTCATGCCAATAGCTTCACTGGTTTTCAAAATATGGCCCTTTGAATTATTTGAAAATCAAATTTCCATGCATGCCCCATTGGAAAAATTCGAATTTTTAAATTTTATGGATTTTGCAATTTTTGACTGCACCAATCGAAAGAAGAGGTTAAAATAAGTAGAAAAGCATTTTCAGAACTTTCCTTTTTGGGTTTTAAAGCCTTGTTAAAAAATAAAAACGATTTTTGCAATTTTTGGGCTCAAAAAATTTCATTAATCTGACATTCTTTCACAAAATTGCTGATTAGTCGGTTATTATTGTAACAAATATAATGTAAAATTATATATTCTGAATCAGAATTAAATTATCTTCAAGATAAAATAAGATTCAATCCTATAACTTAAATACTTGGGAAGCTATTCAGGCTCAAAGTTGAAACTTTACCTCAAATTTTGCAAAAGCTTCCAGGCGGATTATCTTGAAAACGAAGCCCTTGGGCTTGGAGTCTTAAATAACCTTTTTTGTAGCCCTTATTAAGAGCTACAATTGAGCAAAAGATTCATGCCAATAGCTTCACTGGTTTTCAAAATATGGCCCTTTGAATTATTTGAAAATCAAATTTCCATGCATGCCCCATTGGAAAAATTCGAATTTTTAAATTTTATGGATTTTGCAATTTTTGACTGCACCAATCGAAAGAAGAGGTTAAAATAAGTAGAAAAGCATTTTCAGAACTTTCCTTTTTGGGTTTTAAAGCCTTGTTAAAAAATAAAAACGATTTTTGCAATTTTTGGGCTCAAAAAATTTCATTAATCTGACATTCTTTCACAAAATTGCTGATTAGTCGGTTATTATTGTAACAAATATAATGTAAAATTATATATTCTGAATCAGAATTAAATTATCTTCAAGATAAAATAAGATTCAATCCTATAACTTAAATACTTGGGAAGATATTCAGGCTCAAAGTTGAAACTTTACCTCAAATTTTGCAAAAGCTTCCAGGCGGATTATCTTGAAAACGAAGCCCTTGGGCTCGGAGTCTTAAATAACTTTTTTTGTAGCCTTTATTAACTGCTACAATTGGGCAAAAGATTCATGCCAATAACTTCACTGGTATCCAAAATATGGCTCTTTGAAATATTTGGAAATCAAAATTCCATCCATCCCACCCCTTTGGAAAAGTAAGAATTTTTAAATTTTCAGTTTTTCGAATTTTTGACTTCACCAATCGAAAGAAGAGGTTTAAATTAGTAGAAAAACATTTTCGCAACTTTCCTTTTTGGGTTTTAAAGCCTTGTTAAAAAATAAAAACGATTTTTGCAATTTTTGGGATCAAAAAAATTTCAATAATCTGACATTCTTTCACAAAATTGCTGATCACTCGGTTATTATTGAAAAAAAATATGATCTAAAATTATATATTCTGAATCAGAATTAAATTATCTTCAAGATAAAATATAAGACTCAATTCTATATCTTAAATACTTCTGAAGATATTGAAGCTCAAAGTTGAAACTTTATCTCAAATTTTGCAAAAGCTTTCAGGCGGATTATCTTGAAAACGAAGCCCTTGGGCTCGAAGTCTTGAATAATCTTTTTTGAAGCTCTTATTGAGAGCTACAATTGCCAGAGTCCCAGCTAGAACCAGAAAATTGAAAATAGAGATGAAAAGTCAAAAAAGTTGACGGAAACTTTTTCTGATAATTGTTCTTGGAATCTGATAATTTTGTTCTCAAATCCTGATAATTTTAAATTTGACATCTGACAACGCTGTTTGTATCTCCAAAAATATAACCTCTAGGTACCGTTTTAGGCTCGATTTTAGGTATGACCAGAAACCCTTTTTGCCATATATTATTATTTATCTTTTCAGTATGTTCTCTTCACGTTTCCCATCTCACTACATACATGTCTTCTTATTTTTTCTAATCCACGCCATTCTCGTGCTGAAAACGTCACATTTTCTCTATATTCGCGTCTTTAATTATTTCGTTTGAATTTCTATTTATTTTTGTTCCTTTATATTCCTTAAAAGAGTCTAAACCCTGTCTTTAACCAAACTAAACATACGGTTTGTTTTAACATCAAACAAACATTACAAGTGTAACAATATTTCTTTTCTGATTGATCACTCAAGAGATAAAAGGAGTCTATTAGCGCAATAACGTTTACTTGCACTCTACACAAATACTGAAATATGTTTTCACACGATTCCATTGCATATGAAATATGCTTTTGAAAGCTTAATGATACTTTATGAGGTTTTACACGCTTATGTTGTCTAAATGTTTTTGTTTTACGAAGCTTAACAAAAATATTATTATTTTGCAATGTTTAGAGGAGTTTCTGCTTTAATCTATTTAGTAAGATGATAATAAGTATTATTTAGAATTTAC